AAAACATTCCTCATTGTCCCATCCCTCAGCTCTTCCCTTGGATTTTCTCTCTGTTGCAACAGTTCTCCTGCTCCATTTCTTTTGCAAAACTTATCTAAACTTGTATTTAAAATAGAAAAGGCAATATAATTTTATTTTTGCTTGAAAATTGGGAAATCTTTTGTCTAAACAAGAAGTGGGACCTACTGGTTCCTGCAGAAGTGACCTTTCGAAAATAACTTTACCTGTGCCTAACTAATTCTAAATTCTAATACCTATTTTCCCCTGGAGATTGTCACCTTTGGGAAGTGAGCATTGAATTTGGGGTCTCAAATGGTTTAAATGTGGTTGTGCCTTGATTTTCAAGACACTTTTATCTGAATGGGGTCAAGTGTTGTTTGGTCTGATAATGGGGGTAAAAAAAGCAAGGCTGCTCTTCTTTCCTCTATGATCCGTTTGTCTCAGTCTTTATTAAAAAAAAACTAAGACAGAGAACAGTTTTCTGGAAAAAAAAATGTTTTATTATCAAATTATTCCTATACAGCACAATTACCTGTGGCAAGGTAAAACAGATCTAGGTGTGCACTCCCTTGGAATTCAGTTCTACCAGCACAAAAATCAACAGACAACTCCTTCAGTGCAAATTAATGCCTTGGATTGTGTGGAATTCCTGTCTTCGTGTTGTTTTCCTCTCAGACTTCTCTCCAACTCCATCTTTGAACGAGGGAAAGTCGTAGCAGTTACAAAAATAGGTAGTATTTCATTTTCTAGGCTTTACAGTACAGTGGGAGGTAATTTCTCAGCCTCTAAAGTCCTTATTTCTTCATAGAATCCATGAAATCTCTTCACCCCAGCACGGGATGGATCCATGCTCGATATTGCACAGACAGGACTCGAAAGCAGCAGAGGCTGGGCCAGGTGGGGAAGGAGCTCTCCTGTGTCAGACTCCTCAATAATACATGTTCTTGTCCCACCAACCTGCAGGAGAAGGGAGGGGATAATAATTTAAAAAAAGAAACACAAAAACTTGGTTATTTTTCCTCAAAAAGGAAAATGGTTGGAGAAAAACGATTCATTTTCCAGCAGTCACCTGCGAGTGGCAGCTGAGGTGGGGGTGGAAGGGTGGGAAAAGACACACAAAATGAAAATATTCCATTAAAATTCAGTTAGAGCAGGGCACTCACTTCCTGGGTGTCTCCTGATGAGCAGCTTTCGGATTTCATCGTAGACCCAAATCAGGATGGCAAAAGGCACAGCCACAAACCAGTACTGGAACCTGGGAGTGGGGACAAAAGGTCTCGCTCAGAAACACCTGAAAACATCTCAGCTGCACTCCTGGGGTCTCTGTGCTGTTCCATGTCACTGAAACAAATCCTGGGCCTCTTTCCATTTTCCTAATTAATCTTTCAAATTGTTGAAGAGCATGTAAAACCTCCCAGTTTTAAGTGGTCACTGAATTAATTAATTCCAGGTCCTATTCAGAAGGAAATTTTGCCTGGTGTTATCACAGCAATAAATCACCTGACTGGTCTATTTAAAAGAAAAGTTAAATGCTGGCTGTGCTCATCAAAACCTTGGAGATGCTGGAAGAAATATTTAAATGTTGGTTTTGCACAAGTGGGTTTTTGGATCCTCAGTAGGAAATCCAGTAGGAGAATGTGGAAATTATGGCAATAATGGCCTTTTTGGCCAAGAAATAGTGATGAATATAATGATTTTTAATAATATTTATCCTGCAGTGGTGCTGCATGGGCTCCTGCTCCCTTTTGTGCCCACAAGGAGGGCAGGGGAGCTCAGTGGCACCAGAGCTCACCTGAGTGGAGTGAAGTTCAGGGCTGTAACGTGTCCAAGGCCATAGGTGAGAATCAAAGCAATTCCTATCTGGGAAAATATCCCCACCCAGATCACTTTGTTCCTGCAGGAAAAGCAGAGAGGACCAGTTAAATCCCTGTGAGACAGTTGAATTAACCTCAGAATTAAACCCCTGTGACAGAATTAACCCCACAGTTAAACCCCTGTGAGGGTTAAATTAACCCCAGAGTTAAAACCCTTGTGAGAGAGTTAACCCCAGAGTTAACCCCCTGTGAGGGTTAAATTAACCCCAGAATTAAACCCTGGGAGAGTGTTAAATTAACCCCAGAGTTAACCCCCTGTGAGAGGGTTAAATTAATCTCAGAGTTAAACCCCTGTGAGAATTAAATTCACCCCAGAGTCAAACCCATGTGAGAGTTGAAGTAACCCCAGAGTTAAACCTCTCTGAGAGGGTTAAATTATAAATAATATTATGTAATAATAAATTAGACCCATGTGAGAGAGTTAACCTCAGAGTTAAACCCCTGTGACAAAGTGGACTTAACCCCTCTGAGAGGGTTAAATTAACCCCAGAGTTGAAGCCCTGTGACAGAACTGAGTTAACCCCCTGAGAGAGGGTTAAATTACCCCAGAATAAAACCCTGTGAGGGTTAAATTAACCCCAGAGTTAGCCCTCTGTGAAAGGGTTAAATTAACCCCAGAGTTAAACCCCTGTGAGGGTTAAATTAACCTCAGAGTTAAACCCCTGTGAGAGGGTTAAATTATAAATAATATTATATAATAATAAATTAGACCCGTGTGAGAGATTTGAAGCTAACCTCAGAGTCAAACGCCTGTGACGGAGTTGATTTAACCCCTGTGAGAGGGTTAAATTAACCCCAGAGAGTTCAATTAACCCCAGAGTTAAACCCCTGTGACAGAACTGAGTTAACCCCCTGTGAGAGGGTTAAATAAACCCCATAGTTAACCCCCTGTGAGAGGGTTAAATAAACCCCAGAATAAAACCCCTGTGAGAGGGTTAAATTAACCCCAGAGTTAAATTAACCCCAGAGAGTTCAATTAACCCCACAGTTAAACCCCTGTGACAGAAGTGAGTTAACCCCCTGTGAGAGGGTTAAATCACCCCAGAATAAAACCCTTGTGAGAGGGTTAAATAACCCCCAGAATTAACCCCTGTGAGAAGGTTAAATTAACCCCAGTGTTAACCCCCTGTGAGAGGGTTAAATTACCCCAGAATAAAACCCCTGTGAGAGGGTTAAATTAACCCCAGAGTTAACCCCCTGTGAGAGGGTTAAATCACCCCAGAATAAAACCCTTGTGAGAGGGTTAAATTACCCCAGAATAAAACCCCTGTGAGAGGGTTAAATTAACCCCAGATTTAACCCCCTGTGAGAGGGTTAAATAAACCCCAGAGTTAAATTAACCCCAGAGTTAAGCCCCTGTGAGAGGGTTAAATCACCCCAGAGTTAAATTAACCCCAGAGTTAACCTCCTGTGTGCCTGCAGATGCTCCTGGATCCCTGCAATCCCTGCCCTGGGCGAGCTCTGCAGGCACAGGGCTGGGCTGGGCACCTCTGTCCCGCACCCCGAGTGCTGCTGCCTCTCCTGGCAGCATTCCCAGCCCAAATCCAGCTGCGGGAGACTCCCAGCAGCAGCTCCTGAAGGCTTGTGCTGCTCTGGGACTGTGCTCGGGGTGACTCAGGTGTTAATGCAAGGAGGAAGAACACATAGGTGTAGGCCCTGTAGCTGCAGATAAAGGATGGAAAATAAATTGCCCTGCTATCAGAAAGGCTGGGAGGCAATGCCAGCTCTGCTGCTGGCCTCTGGCCCAGCTGATATTTGGAATTCTCCTGGGACTGGAGGTTTGCAGAGGGCGGCCAGCACTGTCTGGGGCAGTTTGGCCAGCTGGTATCTCCCTTCCCAGAGCCTCAAGTTATCTCAGGGAAGTCCAGACTTGCTATCTCTTGATAAGGAGTTCAGAAAGTAATCTGGAAGAGAAACTCCCATTTTCTGCTCGTAAACATTTTAAAGAATGGAAAGTCAGTTTTAAGCTGGTGCATTTTCAGAATAACCAGAACAATGTCTTTAAAGAAAATCCCTATCCTGAAGTAGAAAATGGGCTGAGGGGAGGTGTAATAAAATATTTGCCTGAGATTTGTGATTGTTTAAGGCCAGGCTTAATCGTTGTGCAAAGACTGAAAGTGAGAGGGCCAAATCACTGAGCTCACCTGCTTCTGGAGGGAGCAAGAGGCTAACTTGAACTGCAGGTTTAGATTAGATAGGAAAAAATCCTGTCCTCAGAGGGAAATTCTCCCCAGGTGAGGCCGTGGCACAGGGAAGCTGAGAAGCTGTGGCTGCCCCTGGATCCCTGGCAGTGCCCACGGCCAGGCTGGAGCAGCCTGGGTTGGTGGAAGGAGTCCCTGCCCATGGCAGGGCTGGGATGAGATGGGTGTGGGACTTAAATTCAGTTAAAGAAAGAGACTGAGAATTTTTAGCTAGGCAAAAGCTTAGGAAAGAGCTGGATAAGAATGTAAATAATTCTTTATCTCTCTTGTTTTTCACATTGTTTATAGTTGAGTTCTATCACTGTGCATCAAGCACTTTGCACCAATGGTGTGGGTTGTTTTCACTTCAAAACCAATAAATTTGGTCCTCACGAAGCTCTGTATAAAAGAGCAGTGTATTTTGAATAAACCAGAGATTTACTCTCACAGCCTTCTGAGTCAGAGTCCCTTCATTCCCGTCCTGCCTCGACAGCCACAGATGGGCTTTAAGGTCTCTTCAACCCAAACCATCCTGGGATTGCACCTCTGCAAAACTCACCTGAAGAGGCCCTGGCGGAAAATGGAATTTCTGCGCGTTTTCCTGATGATCAAATCAGCCACCTGCTGGATGGTGATGCTGACAAAGAAGGCAGTGTAGCCAGTCCACTGCAGGTATATGCGCTGGTAGTGGGTCTGCAGAGCCAAGGAAACACCAAAATCATTTTAAATCAGACCCTCCCACCTCCCCAGGCTGTTCAAACCTCTGTGGGAGGCTTCGTTTCAGCGCCCAAGGTTTGAACGCGGGGTTACTCCAGATTTAGACACAGAATGATCAGATTTGGGCCCAGCTTTGTTCCAGGACTGAGTCACGAGGTGCAGCACGAGGGGTGTTTATATGGATTTATCAGTGCCTCCTGTGCCTTGTGATTCTGCAGGGGAGGCAGGGGGAGGCTGCAAGGACTCGGCAGAGGTGCTGCTCACCAGCAGGGCTGGGAGAGGATGGTGAGGATTGATTTTTAACCATCAAAACCAGAGAGGAAGGTGCGTCTGCAGAGGGTGTGAGCGAGAAGGAGGCAAATGGTGGAAGAATGAATGAAAGAGCAGAGGCTGATTGAAAGAGCTGTGTGGTAGGAAGCCCCCAAGAGTCTCTCCTGTGAGAACATGGGATGAAAAACTAATTCTATTTGCATTCCCTATGCCTTTATTTTGGGGAATGTTTGAGCAAGCAGGTGGGCAGGGAATTTTCAGGGCTGCCTTACCCATTGCTGTCCGTAGGAATCCTCGAAGTCATTGATGGCATTGCTCTCCCAGTTCACTCTCACTCCCAGCAGCGTGGAGGGCAGGAACCCCTGCTCAGCATAGACGGTGAAATAGGTGACGAAGGCCCCCACTGACTGCATGATTCCTGCAGAAACAAAGGGGCAGGAATGAGGAAAAACCGAAATTAAGGAGCGCTGGCGGATGTGCTGGATGCATGAAACATGCTGAAGGTAATTTGAGAGTGTTGCTGCTGTGAATTTCGTGCCCTCTGTAGATAAAAAAACTCATTTTATTGCCGAATAACGAGCAACAGGAGGGGGCTGGTGGGTTTGCAGAGGAAGGGGTTGAGTTTCATCTCCTAAATTTAGAGGTTTTTTTTAAGTGAATCAGCTTGAGTCTTGCTTTGCTGACACGAGAGAGCGTTGGGGAGGCCAACCCACCGATCTGCAGGTAGGAGTAGACAGCCAGCTGCTGGTTCACCAGCCGGTCTCTCCTCTTGTTCCGAGGCCTCCTGTTCATGATGTCGCTCTCGGCTTTCTCGTACGCCAACGCCACCGAGGGGATCTGCAAGAGAAACAAACCCTCAGGGGCTGGGGCAGCATTTCCCTGATTCCCGGGGGTTTCGCAGCAATCTGCAGCTCCCAAGTGGTTCTCATGAATGGTGGCAGGACTGCAGGAAAGAGAGGAGGATCTGTGCAGATTCCTAATAAATTAATTCCTATTAGTTAATTAATTCTTATTAATGTGTAAAGGGTTTGGGGGAAGGCTGAAACTTGCATGGATCTGGTGATCAATACAAAAGGCAAGAGGAAGTTAATGATAATTTAATATTTCAATTAAAGGGTCTTCCAGGCCCCTTGGGCTGGGCTGGATGTAATCCCTCTGATCTCTTGATTAAAACATAAGATATTCTAATTGTATTACATTATATTATGTTATATTGTATTGTATTGTATTATATTGTATTATATGATATTATATTATATTTTATATTACATTACATTGTATTGTATTGTGTTGTGTTGTGTTGTATTTTGTTGTATTGTATTGTATTGTATTATTATTATATATTATTATTATTATTATTATTATACATAATTGTTCACTGCTGATTTTAGCCTGCATCAGATGTCTTTGCTTTCTGCTCCCCCTCTGCAGGATGTTGTTGTTTTCTACTCTTCTTTCCCTCTACCTGGCTGCTTTTAATCCCTTTTTTCGCTGCCTGTCTCAGCTGCAGGATAAAGCCTCAAAATCCCCTGGATTTTTTCCTGGGTGTGCCTCCACCCCCAGCCCCTCTCCCTGGCAGGATATTCCAGCAGGAAATGCCTTTGAAGCTCCCAACTCACGATGTCCGTGCCCAGGTCGATGAAGAGGATGGTGATGGTGCCAATGGGCATTGGGATGCTGGCAATGATGTAGATGAGGAAGGGGCAGAGCTCAGCAATGTTCTTGGTCAGGGTGTAGGCAATGGTTTTCTTCAGGTTGTCAAAAATCAGGCGGCCTGGGGGAAGAGAAAATTCTTCTGTTAAAGGGAATTTTTATCAGAAAAAATGTTTAAATTTAACTAAATGAAATGGAAACATTTACTGCTTATTTCTACTTTCCTTGTGTGCTTCATCATTTGGTTCTGTTGGGGTGTTTTAAGCTCCCTTCCCTTAGAGCCTTATGAAAACTCAAGTGTAATAAAACATTTCTTTTGGTGAGGCAGTTGGAGGGGAAAATCCCATTCCCCAAAATGCTGTGGTTGTGATGATGAAACACAACTCTTTACATGTGGGCTGAGTGCTCCTGTCTTAGGTGGAGAACAGAAAAGGTGGAAAAAAGAATTTGTATCTTTGTGAGGCTTTGGAAAGAGTCAGGAAGTGCTTTTATCTGAAGCTTGATCAAACAGAGATAGCAAATCTTTATTATGTGCGAGACAGGGAGATTATTTCCTTATTCTCTGATTGTCATGTAGAAATAGAATTCATTCCCAGCTTTCCCAAATATCAAATCCACAAATCCAGAAAGAGAAGAGGGGAGGGCAGGATCAAGGGGCAGCTTCCAGCTCAAAAAGTGGGAAACAACATTTTCTTTACCTTCCTCCACTCCTGTGACAATGGAAGCAAAGTTATCATCCAGCAGGACCATATCAGCTGCATTTTTGGCTGCATCAGAGCCAGCAATCCCCATAGCAATCCCAATATCAGCCTTTTTTAGGGCAGGGGAGTCATTGACTCCATCTCCAGTCACGGCAACCACAGCTCCCTGGAAGACACAAAAGCATCCAGATGTGGGTTTGGAAGGAGAGGTGAATGCTGCCATCATCAATCCTTACATTTCTAACAGGAAAATATCAGCAATCCCAATATCAACAATCCCTATATCAGCTTTTTTTAGGGCAGGAGAGTCACTGACTCCATCTCCAGTCATGGCAACCACATCTCCCTGGAAGACACAAAAGCATCCAGATGTGAGTTTGGGAGGAGAGGTGAATGCTGCCATCATCAGTCTTTATATTTCTAACAGAAAATTGCTGATAGGAAGTTCTGAATCCTCCCTGTGTCAAACACAGCCAGGGATCAGGAGGGTGGTGGGCAGGGCTAGGAGAGCAATCTCAGAGTTTTGTGTGCTTCCCCTTACAGTAGAGACCTGGAAAATTCAGGGATGTGATTCACTTCATCCCGAAGAGTAGACATCTCAATTAGATGCATTTCAAATGCCATTAATCTGATAGTTTGGTATAAAGAGGATTTAAGATTTGGATGTCTGCTCTATGTACGTGCTCCATCCCTGTCTGAGCAGAGCCAGGCTCACCTCTGACATCTGGGGGAGGTTTGATTAACACAAAATATCCTGCTTTTTTTAATGAAGTGCTACAGAAACAGCCAGGCTTCATCTGATTCATAAATTATGTAACTGTTGAGTTAGAGCCCGTCCTCATCCTATCCCAACAGCTTCTGGCCAGCCTGTCTGTGCTAGAATTTCTCTACTAATCCAAAAGATGAAAAACTCTGATTATCCAACCCAGCTTCTTTGTTATCTTCCTGAACATCTCCTGCAGCTCCAGGCTCTGCTCTGGCTGATGCAGAAGTTTCTGGCTTGGTTCAAGGCAGGGTGTTCAGAGTGGGGGCAAAGCCTGGCAAACTGATGAATCAAATGCTGAATTTCCTGTCCCTGGGGGGATTGAGCACAGTGTCACTACCTATAAATAATGCCATGTTCAGAAAGGCTTATAAGCTCTGAGTACTAAACATAGCTGGAGACTGGCTGGGGGAGGGTGTTCCTTTCCATCCCTAAAGAGCCAAATCTGCCAGGAGTGTGGGAGTCTGAGCAGTGCAGAACACGTTTACCCACCGTGTGCCTAACAGAGACCATTCAAAAAATAAAAACCGCACCAAATTGAGAAGTTTTATATCTTTTTTTTTTACTCTCTAGAGAGCCCTCCAGGCTGAAACCCAAAGAGCTGATAATGCTGATTGAGAAGCTCAGTGCTGGCACGACTACAAAAATAAAATAATATCTTGTGTCACATCTTCCTCTCTACAAAGTCCAGGCACAGCACTAGTGTGGCTTTAATTCACAAAATCTACTTGGAAGGTGTCATTTTTGAGTCGAGATTCTTTTGACAGCAATTTTCATCTTTGAGATCTGTATTTTTTTTTCCTCCTGTGCTGGCTGCACTCCAGGCTGCTTTACATAATATTGTCCATGGATGGGACAAACTCTCCTTAAATCCTGCTGCCTGATTTACAGCCCTGGGAAGTAACACAGATAAGACTTGGTGGTACATAAATCATGTTCTGGCATTCTGTGGGGTTCATGCCTCAGAATCACAAATAATCTAGGCTGGAAAAGAGCTGTGAGTTCAGCTGTTCACCCAGCACTGCCACTAACCTGTTCCACTCCCAAACATTCCTGTGGGCAGGAGGACATGGCTCTTGAGTAGCCACAAGAGATAAGAGGAGAGGATGTGGCAGCAGCAGTGCTTTTATCTGGGTTTAAAGAATTCCTGGGGGAATTCTCCTTCCCAGACAGGGCACAAGAGGCTTTTTGTGTTTCTCAGAGTGACAGGGACAATCCATGCTCTGGCTACAGCTCCAAACCCAGGCAAAGCTCATTTTGTCACCAGGAGCTGTGTCTGCAGCAGGAATTTGAGCGCCTTGGATCGAGTCCAGGCAGCGTTTGTGGCAATCTGTTAGATAATGTTCTGGCATGGGGGAAAAGAGTATAAACAGAGCTTAGGGAGGGCTGGGAATTGGCTCCCAGCCTCTCAGCCCTGGTGGCTCTGTGGGACCTTTGCCACGCCTGCCTCACCTGCCTCTGGCAGCCCTCCACGATGATCAGCTTCTGCTGGGGCGAGGTGCGCGCGAAGACGATCTCGGAGTGCTCGCGCAGGATCGTGTCCAGCTGCTCCGAGCTCATGTCCTTCAGCTCCATCCCGTTCACCACGGCTGCCGTGGCTTCCCTGCAACAGCCACGGGCAAGGCGGGGGAGTTTTCAGATTGGAAGGGTGAAAATGGTGCACTCGTGGGACGGGCGTGCAGCTGGATGGCAGGAAAGCGGCAAATTGAGTTAATTGCAGAGGCGTTCGTTGTTAATCAGCGGGAGCTGAATGAAAGGCAGAAATCCAGAGTGGATCACAGTCGCCTCTGGATACAGAGGGGTCTCATTAAAGCTTCAGAAAATGCATTTTGAAGAGGCCTCTCACTGGGAGGAGCAGGGGAAGACATCACTTCTGCAAAGAGCCTTTATCCTTCCCTTGTGATGTTATTTTTTCCCCATTTAAAGGATGAAGGAGGAATTTGGGCTGATGGTCCAAACTGGGTCGTGTGATGCTGAATTTTGCTCTGTGTGTGTGTGTGTGTGTGTGCATTTAGTCAAACAGTGACAGTGACTTCCACATGATCTGCAAAGTATAATTCGCCAGATTTTCTTCACGGGCAGCACAGATGAAAACCACTGAGTGGACACATTTAGGTGGAGATGACTCAGGAGTGGGAATGAGTCATAAAAAAAGCAGAAAGCAGCGGGGATGTAGAATAAAAGCATTGTGGAAGGAGCAGGGAAATGAAGCCCTGGGTGCTGCCAGGCTCTGCTGGCCCTCACCTCCTGTTGACCTGCTCCACGGGGATGTTGAGGCGCTTGGCAATGTCCTCCATGGTCTCGCTGGTGGCTGAGATAATGCCCACGCTCTTGGCGATGGCCTTGGCCGTGATGGGATGGTCGCCAGTGACCATAATGACCTGAGAAAGGGACAAGTGAGTGCCAAATGGTGGAGGGAGATAAGGGGCAACGTCAGGTTTTGAGGAGCAGGAAGCACTTTGGGATCAGAGCAGCGCTGTGCACACAGCAAGGGGAGATTAGGGGCGGTAATTGCCCAGCTCTGTATCAACATCTGGGCTCTGCCTCTCTTACTGAGCTGCTTTATCAGGGCACTGAAGGAAGAACTCGTCACAGGCAGCCAGATTAGAATAATGCAGAATAAAGGAGCCCTTATATAAGGATCTATATTAGGTATGTTCAGTGGGGAGGGTTTGTTGGAGTATTGCATCTTTAAATGGATCCTTGTGACTGAGGTGTCCTGACAGATAAGCACAGCCTTTTCTTGAAGAAAAATTGCCAGATCTGTCTTCAGGCTAGGGAAAATTTCATCAGGGTTGGGGTTTGGGATTCATCTCATCTGAGATATGTAATTCCAAATATGATTTTCCTTGATTTAGATAGGTTTCACCTCTCCTTAGGGCTGAAAGTTTACTTGTGGGTCCCCAGGGAGTGAAATTAGGAGAATGGGCTGAAAGTTTATTTATGGGTCCCCAGGGAGTGAAATTAGGGGAATTACTGCTTCAAGTTCCACTTGAATAACATTGAGATTAATGATTCTTTTGGCTAAATGTCCAAAGCAATGCCCTGATGCCTTCTCTAGAATTGTTTCTATCACTCTGTTTCCCAGCAAGTAATTCCAGCAGGTGTGGGTTCTGTATTCTAGAAATGGATCTGATGAGACAGTATCTGAGCTTTTTCAAATTTGGATTTCCAGGTTTGAGGGTTTTGTGCAGTTCCTATAGTTTGATTCCCACTTAAATGAAAATGTTCTGTCTCTGGGGACTTTCTAAATTGAAATTATAGGATGGTCTTAACTAAAGTTAGTATTTTTGGTAGTTGTTGCTAGAAAGATAATTAATGGCAATGTGGCAGAAGATCTTAAATTTTAAATAATACCTAAAATAATTTTAATTAGTCTTTCTGGAGTGGACCCACTGTGTTTTTCTCTGTAAAATCCTTACCTTGATGCCAGCACTGCGGCACTTGGAGACGGCGTCAGGCACCGTGGAACGAGGTGGGTCAATCATGGACAGGAGCCCCACAAAGCACAGGTTGGAGCTTGGGAAGTTCATGGAATCTGTGTCAAACTGGAAGGTCTCTGGAAACTCCTTCTCAGGCAGGTACAAGTGGCAGAAACCTGAAAAGATATTTAGGTTGGTGTGATGGGCAGGAAAATGTGGGAGAAAGAGGAGAGGCTCTGCTCTTGCCCATGGAACTCCAGGATTTAACCATTTCTCCAGGCATGCTGGATGTGCCAAGACTTTAAACCCCATTTCACAGGTTTTA